AAATATCTAAAAGTTGATAAATCGGAAAATTTAAAACCTAAAAATAAAATATCACATTGAAAATACTAAGTAAAATTATAAAATCAGAACATCGAAAAACCGAAAAAATTTAAAATATAAAGAAAATGAAATATCGAAACGAAAAATTGAACAAAGGAAAAATTGAAAAACTCAAAACTTATTCGTGAAATTCTAACATATATAAAATTGGAACATCCAAAAGTTTTTTAATTTTTGGTTTTCCAATTTTGCAATTTTTTCCAATTTTTTATTCAAAAGGTTGAAAAGTCGGAAAAGTGGATAAACGAAACATTTCAAATCGTCAAGATTATAAAGTCGAAAAATCGATACATTAAAGGAGCGAAAAATTGAAAAATTATGAACAAATTGAAAAATTAAAAATCGAATAAATGAAAAAGTTTTAAAATCCAGTGATTCAAAAATGGTAGGAACAAAAAACTGAAAAATCTTGAAACTAAAAAATATAAAATTGAAAAATCGACAAATTAAAAAATCTAACAGTTAAAAATCGAAAAATTTAAAACCGAAAATTTGTAAAATCCAAATATTGAAAAATTTCACAGTGAAAATAAGTAAAATTATCAAATGAGAACAGCGAAAAATCGAAAAATTGCAAATAAAAATATTGAAGATATGAAAAATTGCAAAACCTAAAAACTGAAAAATTAAAGATTGAAAATTCATGAAATTGCAGATCGAAAAATTTCAAAATCTAATAATTGGAACATCCAAAAGTTTCTTCGTTTTTGGTTTTTCAGTTTTACATTTTTTTTCTATTTTTTTTATTCTAAAAGTTGAAAAATCGAAAAATTTCAAATCGTTTCCGGTTCTTTGATTTTTCGACTTTTCAATTGTTCAAATTTCCAATTTCTCAATTTTTTTATTTTTCGATTACTCGATTTTCCGTTCATCAGTTTTAGGTACATTTTTCAATTTTTTAATTTTTCAATTGTCGAATTTTTTTTCACTTTTCCAATTTTCAATTTTTGGCGTTTCTAAGTTTTCGGTTTGTCGAGTTTTTGAATTCTCGATTTTCAGACTTTTCGATTTCTCGTTTTCTTGACAATTCAATTTTCTGATGTTCCCATTTCTCGATCTTTGGGTGTTTCGATGTTCCGATTTCCCGATTTTTCGATTTTTCAGTTGCTCATTTTAGATTTTTCAATTTTTGGATTTTTCAATTTTTCGACTTTTCAGTGTTTCGATTTGTCAATTTTTCGATAGTTGAAAATTCGAAAAAATAAGGAAAATGAAAAACTGTAACGAAACATTGCAAATCGAAAATTTGAAGAAACGAAAAATTAAGAATCAAAAAATTATTGAAAAATTAAAAATTTAAAAATCGCAAAATGAAAAATTGGAAAAACAAAAATTATAAAATCGAAGCATTGAATAATTGAAAAACAATAGAGAAATAAAAAGCCGAAAGGAAAAATTCCAAATAAAAAAACTGAAAAATTAAAAATTGAAAACTCAAACTTCAGACGAAAAATTGCAAAATCTAAAAACTGGAAAATTCAAAATTTGGAAAATTGAAAAATCTGAAAAAACTTGAAAACTCAATAAACTGAAGACACAAAAAAAAATGAAAAAATTTTTTTTCGATCTGCAATTTCATGAATTTTCAATGTTTAAGGCAGCTTTAAAGCGTATTTTATAATGTTAGTTTTTTGTTTTTGTTGCTTTCTCTTCTTTTTAATATTTGCTTATTTATAAGTAATTGTATGTTTATAACTCTATGTAAAGGTAATTGTATGTTTATAATTCTATGTAAAGGTATATCCGTTAATAAACATTATTATTATTATTATTTAGGCTTTTCAGTTTTTCATGTCTTCCCTTTTTTGATTGTAATTTTTCGTTTCGGTTTTTCTTTTTTCTTCGTTTTCAATTTTTCGGCTTTTCACTGTTCTAATATTTTAATTTTACCTGTTTTCAATGTGAAATTTTTCAATTTTCGGATTTTTCAATGTATCGGTTTTGACCTCTTCGATTTGAAGATTTTCAATTTCACGGTTTTTCAACTTTTTAATTTTTGATTTTTCCATTTCTCGATTATTCGACTGTTCAATGTTTCGATTTTCCAATTTTTCAATTCTTCAATTTCTAGATTTTTCAGGTTTTTGGTTTATCAATTTTTTGCTTTTTTTTATTTTCGATTTTCTGACTTCAATTTTTCGATGTTTAGTTTTGGAATTCTTCAGTTTTTCTATTTTTCTACTTTTCGCTTTCTCGGTTTTTCAATGATTGATTCTTCAGTTTATCGATTTTTAAATTTTAAAAATTGAAAAATCTGAAAGTTCGGTTCATCAGTTTTACGAGTACATTTTTCAGATTTTTAATTTTTCAATTTTCGAATTTTTTTTCACTTTTCCAATTTTCAATTTTTGGCTTTTCTAGGTTTTCGGTTTGTCGATTTTTCGAATTCCCGATTTTCCGACTTTTTGATTTTTCGTTTTTTTTGACATTTCAATTTTCTCATTTTCCCATTTCTCGATTTCTCGGTTTGTCGATGTTCCGATTTCCTGATTTTTCCATTTTTCATTTACTCAATTTAGATTTTTGAATTTTTGAATTTTTCAATTTTTCGACTTTTTATTTTTTCGATTTGTCAATTTTTCGATATTTCAGTTTTGGGATATTTCAGTAGATATTTCGATTCTTCAATTTTTCGAATTTTCGGTTTTTTGTTTTCCGATTTTTTGAAGATTCAGTTTTCCGATTTTACAATTTTTGGGTTCTCGAATTTTTCGATTCATTAATTTAGTTCGGTTTTTAAGTTTCTCGAGTTTAATTTTTCAATATTTCAATTTTTCGTTTCGTTAATTCTTCGATTTCCAGTTTTTCGATTTTTAAATTTCTCGGATCAAAAAAATGGAAACATTGTAAAAGTGTAAAACTTAACAACCAAAAATTAAAATTCTTGGATGTTTCAAATTTTAGATTTTAAAATTTTTCGGTCTGCAATTTCATGAATTTTCAATGTTTAATTTTTTTAGGTTTTTCAATTTTTCATATCTTCCGTTTTTTGATTGCAATTTTTCGTTTCGGCTTTTCATTTTTATTCGTTTTAATTTTTCGGTTTTTCACTGTTCAATTATTATAATTTCACCTGTTTTCAATGTGAAATTTCGCAATTTTCGGATTTTGCAATGTTTGGCTTTTGAGTTCTTCGATTTTTGATTTTTCCATTTCTTGATTCTTCAACTGTTCAATGTTTCGATTTTCCAATTTTTCAATTCTTCAATTTCTAGATTTTTTAGGTTTTTGGTTTTTAAATTTTTTGATTTTTTTGTATTTTCGAGTTTCTAACTTCTCAATTTTTCGATGTCCAGTTTTGGAATTCTTCAATTTTTCGATTTTTCAATTTTCGAATTTATTTTTTTTCAATTTTTGTCGTGTCTAGGTTTTCGGTTTGCCGATGTTTCGAATTCTCGATTTTTCGACTTTTCGATTTCTCGTTTTTTTGACATTTCAGTTTTTTATTTTTCCCATTTTTCGATTTCTCGGTTTTTCTATGTTCCGATTTCCCGATTTTTCCATTTTTCAATTCCTCAATTTAGGTTTTTTAATTTTTGGATTTTCCAATTTTTCGACTTTTTAGTTTCTCGGTTTGTCAATTTTTGAATATTTCAGTTTTGGAATTTTTCAATAGGTTTTTCGATTTTTCGGTTTTTTATTTTTCGATTTTTCGGTTTTTTATTTTTCGATTTTTCGATATTTTAAAGTTTTTCAATTCATCCATACTTCGATTCTTCAATTTTTTGGTTTTTCGACTTAGATTTCTCGTTTTTTTGTTTTCCGTTTTTTTGAAGTTGCGGTTTTTCGATTTTACAATTTTTGGGTTTTCGAATTTTTCCATTCAGTAATTTGGTTCGGTTTTTAAGTTTCTCGATTGTTAATTTTTCAATATTTACATTTTTCGTTTCGTTAGTTCCTCGATTTTCAGTTTTTCGATTTTTCAACTTTTCGAAATTTTGATTTTTCCATTTCTCGATTCCTCGACGGTTCGATGTTTAGATTTTCCGATTTTTCAATTCGTCAATTTTTAGATTTTTTAGGTTTTTGATTTTTCAATTTGTTGATTTTTTGTATATTAGATTTTCTGACTTTTCAATTTTTCGATGTCCAGTTTTAGAATTCTTCAATTTTTCGATTTTTTGACTTCTCGATTTCTCGGTTTTCAATTTTTTGATTCTTAAGGTTATCGTTTTTTCAAATTTTAAAAATTAAAATATCTAAAAGTTGAAAAATCGAAAACTTGTACATCGAAAAATTGAAAAACCAAAAAATTGAAAAAATAAAGATAATAAAATCTGTAACCAGACATTGCAAATCGAAAATTTGAAGAAATGAAAAATTAAGAATCGAAAATTGAAAAATTAAAAATTGAAAAAACAGAAGAGAACAAAAAATTGAAAAATCGCAGTACGAAAAATTGAGGAAACAAAACATTATAAAATCGAAGCAATGAATAACCGAATAATTGAAAAAATAGAGAAAATAAAAACCGAAACAAAAAAAAACTGGAAAACTCAAAATTCGAAAAATTTAAAAACCTGAAAAAACTTGAAAACTCAATAAACTGAAGACACAAAAAAAAAGAAAAATTCAATTTAAAAAACCGTGAGAGTGTTTATTTACGCCAGAGGTTTTTACTTTATAAAGAAATATCAGAAAACAAAAATGGCAATTTTTTTTATAGCATTTCAAGGAATCGGAATTTGTTGGGCTGCACTTCAGTTCCATGAAAACAACCTTCGACCAATTTTTATTATCATTATTCACTGAAGCCACGTGCCAGCGTGCACCTTTTCCCCGGAACCTCCTCCTAAGCCCAGCAGTCGATCTGACGTGAAGGAAATGAATTAATTATGGGGCGTATTTGTGCTACGGCGACGGAAAGTTTCCGTCTGGCCCCCTTCAGCGCGAAATTAGTGAGTTTGCGATGCCAAGGGATGGCTCCGTAATGTATTTACCTGCGGTATACAATAAACGAAGGACGTGCCCCATGCGAAGGCCAGCATCATCTTGCCTCTTCTTCTGGCGTCGTTGACTCGGAGAGGGTGGAGGACCGCAAAGTATCTGTCCAAGGACACGCACACAAGGACGTTGCTGCTTAGGTACGGTCCAAAGGCTCGCAGGAACAAGAAGACTTTGCATGCCACATTTCCCGCGATCCATTTACCTGTCACTCTCCATCCGACCTGGAATTTAGAGAGACGACTAAGCATTTAAATATTTAATATCGGCAGTTGCGGTGGGCTGTCGTCGCCTGCCTTGCTTATCTTTTGGGGGTGGATAATGTGCGGAATTTGGGCTGGGTGAGGGTTGGGTTGGGGCTCGAGATTAATAAGCACGAAAAGGTTACTAATTTTTTTTAAGTAAACCTTTATGGAAAAATACGGCCTGACATGCACGAGGTATTGGTCACGCGTCACAGGGTGACAAATCTGTGTTTGCTCTTGTGGGTGGTTGTTTCGAGGTGATTTTTCACACTCCCACGTATGCGTTTTGGTGCGTTATAAATTGGCATTTTGTGGGTGTGTTTTCATCAGTTTGGTTATTATTTTTTTTGGTTTTGGATTAATGAATTGTCGGGACCGCAGGTTATAAAAACGTGGATATTGATTTGAAAAAATGTTTGGATTTGGCAGATTTATTGCCGTTATTAGCAAGTCGAGTGTAGATTTGCGTTTAATTTTCATGATATTTGTAAAAGAAAGTGAATGGATTTAATATTTCAATTCGCCGGTTCGGTGAAAATAGAAATTAATAAAAAAATTAGTCGGGGGTTACTTCCATAGAATTCCGTCGCCTCTGAAGTGCTTAGAGAAATCATAAAATTTTTTCGGGTTTTTTTTTTGATAACCCCTATGATGTAAAATCTAATGTCGTAAATGAGCATTTTTTTGCCTTCAATTTTTCATTTGTTCAATTTTTTATTTTTTTTTGTTTCTTTAGTTTTTCGATTTGTTTTTTCTCGAGTTTTCAAGGCTGTTTCCAATTTTTCGATTAGCGATTTTTCAATTTTCATTTGTTTATTCGAATTTTTGGATTTTACAATTTTCAGATTTAAAATTTCTTAAGTTTTCAATTATTAATTTTCCAAATTTTGGTTTTTCAATTTCTCGTTTCGGTGTTTATTTTCTCTCTTTTTACAATTTTCCGATTTTATAATTTTTCGTTTTTTCAATTTCCATTTTTTCAATTTTACATCTAAATCTTAGAGTTTTCATTTTAAAATTTTTCAATTTTTCGTTTTTCCAAATTTTGAATGTCTCAGTTTTTAGATTTTGCAATTTCACGAAGTTTCAATTTTTGAATTTTGAATTTTTGATTTTTCAACTTTTAGATTTTTTCAGTTTTTGGATTTTTCAATTTTTCGTTTCTTCAATTTCGATTTGCAATTTTTCTGTTCTTTATTTTAAATATGAAATAATTATTAGAAATTTAAGAAATTTTCAATTTTTCAATTTTTCGATTCTTCAGTTTTTCGTTTCCGCAAATTCTCGTTTTGGTTTTTCATTTTCTTTGTTTTTACAATTTTTCTAGTTTTTGTTTTAAGTATGGTAATACCAATGATTTTTAAATTATTCCACTTTCTCAATTTTATGATACTAGAATTTTTTAGTATTCAATTATTAGATTATAAACTTTTTCATTCATTCGACTTTTCGACATTTCGTTTTATATTTTTTCAATTTTTCGTTTTTTTTAATTTTTGCTTTGGGATTTTTATGTTTTCTATTTGAAATATGAAATAATTACATATTATAAATTAACAAATTTTTCATCTTCCAGTTTTGGGATTTTAAAATTTTCTTTATTTTTACTATTTTCCGATTTTTCATTGTTCCGATTTTATGGTTTTTTGTTTTTCAATCGTCTATTTCGCGATTTTTGAAATTTTTGCTTTTTTATTTCTCCAATTTTTATTTTTCATTTCTAAAGTTTCGATATTTTTGGTTTCGGTTTTTAATTTTTTTTATGTTTTCAATTTTTGATTTTATAATTTTTCTTGTTTTCAACGTGAAATTTTGCAGTTTTTATATTTTCCAATCTTTAGGTTTCAATTTTTCGTTTTTTCAGTTTGTGATTTGCAGTTTTTCTAGTTTTTTTAAGTATGGTAACACTGATTTTTTAAATATTTCACTTTCTTAATTTTACGATTCTCGAATTTTTTCATTACTTAATTATTAAATATAAACTTTTTCATGTATTCGACTTTTCAACTTTTCGATTTATATATTTCTTCAATTTTTCGATACTTTAATTTTTGAATTTTTCGATTTTTCAACTTTATTATTATTATAAATTAAAAAAAAATCGCTCTTCCAGTTTTGGGATTTTACAATTTTTCTTTTTTTCAATTTTTCGATTTTTAATTCTTCAGTTTCTTATTTAGGTTTTTCATTTTTTTATTTTTACAATTTTTGGATTTTTCATTGTTCCGATTTTATAATTTTTTGTTTTTTCAATCTTCCGTTTTGCGATTTTTCAATTTTTCGTTTTTTTATTTTTCCAATTTTTAAATTTTCAATTTTCGATTTTTTAATTTTTCATTTGTCAGAACTTTCCATGTGCAATTTTTGATTTCGGTTTTTTATTTTCTTTATTTGTTTAATTATCGATTTCTGATTTTCTGATTTTATAATTTTTCTTTTTTCCAACGTGAAATTTTTCAGTTTTTGAAGATTTTCCAGTTTTTCGGATTCAGTTTTTCGATTTGCAATTTTTCAATTTATCATTTTTTTTCTTTAATTGTACCACAACAATTTTTCAGTTTTTTGGTTTCCAATTTTTGGATGATTCAATTCTCCGATCTCCACTTTCACGAGCTTTCAAATTTTATTTTTCAATTTTTCGTTTCTTCAATTTTTCCGGTTTTTTATTTTCTTTATATTTTCAATTTTCCGATTTTTCAACGTTCTGATTTTATCATTTTTCTTTTGTTCAATGCGAAAATTTCAAATTTCCGGTTTGCAATTTTTTGGTTTTTAATTTTCGATTTTTCAATTTAAAACTTCATTTTCTCGATTTTTAATTTTTTTCTTTTTTTTTTGTTTCTTCAATTTTACGACATGTCACTCTTCGAGCTTTCATTTTTAAAATTATTTTTTTTTAATTTTCCAATTTTTGGATTTTCCAGTTGTTAGATTTCCAATTTCTCGAGCTATCAATTGGTCATTTTAGAATTTTTCTATTTTTCAATTTTTCGATTTTTAATTTTTCAATATTTCGATTCTTCAGTTTTTTGTTTCTTCAGGTTCTCGTTTCGGTTTCTCATTTTCTTTATTTTTACAATTTTTCGATTTTTCATTGTTCCGATTTTATAATTTTTTTGTTTTTACGATTTCCCGTTTTCCGATTTTTCAAATTTTGGTTTTTTTATCTCTTCAATTTTTAAATTTTCAATTTTAAATTCTTTAATTTTTCATTTCTTCAAATTTTCCCTGCGCAATTTTTAGTTTCGGTTTTTATTTTCTTTAATTATTCAATTTTTCGATTTTTCAATGTTCTGATTTTATAATTTTTCTTGTTTCCAAGGTGAAATTTTTCAGTTTGTCGGTTTCATTTTTTCGATTTTTCAACTTTCAGATTTTTCAATTTTTCGTTTCTTTAATTTTTCAGTTTACCATATTTTTGTTTCTTCAATTTTACCACATGTAACTTACGAGTTTTCATTTTTATATTTTTCAGTTTTTTGATTTTCTAATTTTTTGATGTTTCAATGTTTTCGATCTCCAATTTCACGACCTTTCAAATTTTAATTTTTTATTTTTCGATTTTTCAATTTTTCAGTTCTTGAAATTTTTGTTTCGGTTTTCAGTTTTCTTTATTTTTTCAATTTCGCGAAATTTCAATGTTCTGATTTAATTTTTGTTTGTTTCCAACGTGAAATTTTTCAGTTTTTGGATTTTCCAGTTTTTCGCTTTCGATTTTTCAATTTTTAATTTGCAATTTTTCTGTTTTTTATTTTAAATATGAAATAATTATTATAAATAAAAAAATTTCACTCTTCCAATTTTGTCATTTCAGAATTTTTCTATTTTTCAATTTTTCGATTTTTAATTTTTCAATACTTCGATTCTTCAGTTTTTTATTTCTGCAGGTTCTCGTTTCGGTTTCTCATTTTCTTTATTTTTAGAATTATTCGATTTTTCATTGTTCCGATTTTATAATTTTTTTTGTTTTTACGATTTCCCGTTTTCCGATTTTTCAAATTTTGTTTTTTTTTATCTCTTCAATTTTTAAATTTTCAGTTTTAAATTCTTTAATTTTTCATTTCTTCAAATTTTCCATGTACAATTTTTGGTTACGGTTTTTATTTTCTTTATTCTTTCAGTTTTTCGATTTTTCAATGTTTGATTTTATAATTTTTCTTGTTTCCAACGTGAAATTTTTCAGTTTTTCGGTTTCAATTTTTCGATTTTTCAACTTTTAGATTTTTCAATTTTTCGTTTCTTCAATCTTTCGATTTGCAATTTTTCAATTTATTATTTTCTTGTTTCTTCAATTTTACCTCATACGAGTTTTCATTTTTAAAATTTTTAGTTTTTTGATTTTCCAATTTTTGGATGTTTCAATTCTCCGACCTTCAAGTTTTCAAATTTTATTTTTCAATTTTTCAATTTTCGTTTCTTCAATTTTTCGTTTTGGATTTTTGTTTTCTTTATATTTCAGTTTTTCGATTTTTCAACGTTTTAATTTTATCATTTCTCTTTTGTTCAATGCGAAAATTTTAAATTTTTGGATTTTTTAATTTTTCGATTTGCAATATTTTGGTTTTTAATTTTCGATTTTTCAATTTAAAAATTTTCATTTTTTCGATTTTTCAATTTTTTCTTTTTTTTTGTTTTTTCAATTTTATGACGTCCCTTTTCGAGTTTTCATTTTAAAATTTTTCAGTTATTTTATTCTCCAACTTTTGGATAACCCAGTTTTCGGATTTTCCAGTTTTTCGATTGCAATTTCTGAAAATTTATAATTTTTGAATTTTCCGATTTTTCAACTTTTAAATTTTTTAAATTTTTCGATTATTCAATTTTTCGTTTCTTCATTTTTTGATTTATATAATGTTTCTGTTTTTTTGTTTTAAATACAAAATAATTATTATAAATACTTTAAAAAAATTTTGACTTTTTTAATTTTGCGATTTAAGAATTTTTCTATTTTTCGTTCCTAAAGATTTTCGTTTCTGCAG